TGCACAGACTCGTCTCTGGCGGGCGGGCACAGTCTTACTCTCTTCCTGGGCACACACAGAATAGCAGAGGTGGCCCACGTCCCTGCCAGACCTAGCCTCCAGAAAGTCCCCCACGACCTAGCTCATTCTGTCTTTCTGTGCAGCTGGGAGCCAAGGTCTCCAACACAGCACAGCCAAACGACGGAGCAGCCCAGACCCCTACACCACCACCTGGAAGGAAGCGACCAGGTGAGCCTCCTACCTACGTCTGCGGCCGATGAAGTAACCAACTTCCATGGTGGTAAGTCATTGAGATTTGGGGGTTGCATTCACCGAAGTTAACAAGTGTTACCCTAATATACTATCCCTTTCAGAGACTCATTTTCTGGTCTTCCTTGCAGTTTTGATTTCCTTCCAATGAATTCCTTTCTGCTCTACTTCCCCAGTGTCTAATTCTGTTGCTTTCAACCCTAGTCCCTGGTGGTCTACCACTAGTAACAATGTAGCCACCCCGACAGAGCATTGTGACCAGTGAGATTAAACCCTGTTCTGTCACTTGATACTGTAGGTGTTTATTGTACTGACCATTTATCAGCCAACAAATACACGCTCAGGCTGACTCACATGTAGGAGCACAAGGGATTAGTTACAGATTCTGCCCATTTACCATTTCAAAGAGCACACCCCTGAGTTTCCTCATGGCAGACGCTCTGCTGGGCAGTGCAGATGCAAACACCGATGAGAGCTGGTCCTCCCCGGGGAGACTCATGGTCAGTGCCATGGGGGAGCGTCCACTACAGGGGGGAAATCAAGACAAGCCCACGGGCTGTGCCCACGTTACCGCGCTCGTGAAGTGTAAGTAGAACATACGTCCGGCAGGTTCCGTCCTCGGCCCTCTTGGCTTTATAGAGGCTTCCTGGTGACCCATCTGTTATTTCATGGTTCTGTCACTCACCACTCTCAAATCTCTTCTCTCTCATCCTCGCTCCTCCACTGATCCGACCTACATTTCTAATTGGGACACCCCCTGGGTGCCCCACAGGCCTCTCATGTTCCGCACATCAAGAAGCAAACTCGCTCTGGCTGGTGTGGCTGAGTGGTTAGGGTGTCCACCTGCGGACCAAAGAGTCTTGGGTTCGATTCTGATCAAGGGCATAGACCTCGGTTGCAGTTCATCCCCGGCCGCCCTGGTCAGGGTCATGCAGGAGGCACAGGCCAATGTGTCTCTCTCAGGTAGATATTTCTCTCTCTCTCTCCCTCCCTCCTCTATCTGAAGATAAATGGAAAAATATCCCCCAGTGAGGATTTAAAAAAAAAAAAGAAAAGAAGCAAACTCATTCTCCTGCCTCTCCAAACTGTGTCCTCTCTCAGCGTTGGCGGAGCAGTTGACTACCCAGCTAGCCAGGAGTCAAGGTGACCTTCTGACTCATTCCCCTCGCTCTCTCATTCCCTTTCATACATTAGTCACCGAGATCCATCACTTCCTTCTCAGAAATGTTTCTACGTTGTCTCTTGTCAGTTTACCCCCCCGGTTCAAGATCTCATGACTTCATCTGTGCCTCGCCAGCAGCCCCACCCAACCCTCTCCCCCAGCACGTCGTCTCCAGGGCACGGTCTGCCCTGCTGCTAATCACAGCTCCGACCCTGGGATCTAGTTCCAGGCTTCTGCTAAGGTTTCTTCTCTGGCTTCCCAGGGTCTTCAGGACAAAGTCCAAACTTCTCAGTCCTACGTGTAAGTCACTTCACAGTCCCGCTCCATCTGCCTCTCCACCTCACCTTTGTGACTATAAAGAGAAAACTACATTCCTCTCCTCTTTGCCTTTAATGCGTCCCTTCAACTCACCTTTCTTCACTAACTGGTCATCTGAAATTCCATCCAGTTTCCTGCTCCTCATCTTGTGATCGTCTCCAAGAACAGCTAACATTTCCGTTACCATCAGTCAATCACCACGGACAGTGTCCTCTCATTCTGTTACTCCCCCTGGCTTCCTCGTGAACACGCATCACCCTGCATGTCCTGGGAACCAACCTGTAACCGCTTTATCTCCACAGTGAATTCCCGGGAGGTCATTTTCTCATGTATCCAGTAGGCACACCATTCACTTGCATCTCCGTCCTAACGCGAGAATTTCAGAGTTGAAATAAAGCTCAGAAGTAACTTAGTTAAGCACCTTTTCCTCTGCGTAAATCCCTGATGTAACTCACGGAGTCTCCAGCCCCTTCAAGACACAGGACTCACCGCTCCCGCGAAGACTGTCTTCCACGTCTGCAGCTGTCAACAGTTCGTGCTCTGCACTGCGCTGCAATGGACTGGCCCTCCCTGTGACCTGCACCCCCGGTTCTAGGTGTGTCCAGCTCCCTGTTCCAAGTCCTCCTGTGCTGGGCCAGGTCCCCCAACCACTCCTCACAGAAAGCTCCACATCCGAGCCAGGGGCTCATGGAGCTGAAATTCGCAAACCGTGGACCCGGTCATCTGCCCATCGAGGTCATCTCCTCGACGCTGACCTCAGAGGTCAGGATGTTCTCCTCGTCTCGCCTCAACAGGACACTAACAGGCCTGCAGGACACGGCCACCAAGTCACGCCAGGAACACGGTGACGGTATTCTGAAAAACCGCCGAGGGAGGCAACACAACGAAGACTCAGAATTTTGCATCTGGGAAGGAGACCCGGTCCTTTGCGGCACCCAGAACGTTTTGCAGAGTTCAAATGAGCTCATTTAAATAACTAACACAACTAGCATTGCCCTAGAAAGTTCACATGGCAGCCGGCCGGCGTGGCTCAGTGGTTGAGCACTGACCCTGCACCAAGAGGTCACCGGCTTGATTCCCGGTCAGGGCACATGCCCAGGCTGTGGGCCCGATCCCCAGTGGGGGCCGTGCAGGAAGCAGCCAATCGATTTCTCTCTCATCAATGTTTCTCTCTCTCTCTCCCTCTCCCTTTTTCTCTTTCTCTAAAATCAGCAAAGAAAAAGAAATTTAAAAAAAAGTTCACATGGCAAATGAATCGGGCTTCGAACGTTTCTGATTCACGAGGGGGGCGGGGAGTGGAATGATGCGGTCTCCGCCCACAGAGTCCCAGCCCACTTCTGTCTGTGTCCCACGGCAACGCCGCTTCTGCAGTGACGGGCTGGTCGGCAGCCTCCCAGTTTTCCTTCCCTGTTTGCGTTAAGTAGCTGATTGCTGCTCACCATCTTTTCTCCAGTGGTTGGTGACCTTTCCATCACGGCCCCCTTTCTGCGCCTCTTTGTCCGGAGGATGGCATCCTTGCCCTAGTTCCTCCGCATGCTTGACCCGCGGACTGCCCTTCAAGCACACATGTCCTCGGAAGACGAGGCAGACAGCTCTCTTCATTCCCCGTCTGCGGAACCACGGCCCAGTGGCTGGAAGTGGTGCCCCTGGCCCGGCCTGCACCGGCAGTGACCCCCCACCGACGACCTGGCCAAACTACTGCGTCCTCGGTCAGCTCGCTGCAGGCTCCATGAGCCACCTGCTCGCGCCTGGCCATTAGAGACGTGCGATTAGGCAGAATGTACCTCTGTGTCCCTTCTGAGTTTCCGAGTCCCAGCAGCTCCATATCCGACCTCCCTGGATTGTTTCACAATATCCATCAAGCCATTGACCTCTTCACTTCCTCTTCGATCTCTCCCAGTTCCCATCCTTCGCACATCACGGCAGGCGGCTCCGTGACATGCTGGACCCGAGGTGTGTGTATCTGAATCACCTCAACCCTCTAGTAAGGGCTGACGATTCAAAATTAAAGAGTTAATTATGAATAAGTGATTATTAGCTTAATCTAGTCTGTAAATTATAAAATTAAGGCAGCAGAACTATTGGCTTACCAGACTCACACAGTCAAGGCAGAGTAAAATGAAAAATCCTAAGCAAATCCCCCTTTTCCTTTGGGCACGGAGCCCCCCAAACTGTTATCATGTGGTCTCTTGACAGCTACAAAAAAAATGCAATTTCTCTCTCTTTTTTTTATTCTCACTCGAGGACATTTTCCCACTTTTTGTTCAGATAGAGTGGGAGGGAGGGAGGGAGAGAGAGAGAAACATTGACGTGAAAGGGACACATCGAGTGGCTGCCACCCGCATGACCAACCAGGGCTGGGGGCAAACTGCAATTGAGGTACGTGCCCTTAGCGGGAACCGAACCCAGGTCTCTCTGGACCGCAGGCCAACACTCTAACTGCTGAGCCAAACTGGCCAGAGCAAAAAAAAAAATGCAATTCTTTTAAAAACTGGCTTCAAGTATTTACTTTTTCTCCCACAACACATGCAGCTTCTGTTTTATTTTCATTTCCTTGTTGCGCCAACATTTACAGAGCACGAAATAAGTGGTCCATTTTCACAGGAGGAGGTCACCTTTCCCAGACGGTCCTCCAACCCACCAAAGAGGGACAGTAACCCAAAGTAATGAGCTTTCGTTTATGGAGGAATTAATATTCATAAGGATTCGCTATGTATCTGCTCGGAGAATAATTCAGCTACTTCTAGGTTTCGAGAGATCTGCCTTCCAGTTAAACTGCCGTATCCCCAGAGCTGTGTCCGAGGGCACTGTTCAGCTCCCGGTCACAGCCTCCTTCCCGCATGTCTTCACTGGAGGGACGGGCAACAGCTGCTGCCGTCTCGGGAGGTCCTGACTCCGCAGGGGATCCCGACCTAGCTCCCCGGTCTCTACCCTGCTTCAGAACGGCCTTTTCTTCAGCGATGAGCACACACCACCATAAGCAAAGCTTGGAGCAGAGAGAAACCGGGGTTAACGGTGCGAAGGGAAAGAGAAAACTGCACCCCTAAGAAAGCAGAGGGCGCATCCGGGGCATCGCTAAATAGAGGGCCATCGCCTTTGAGAAACAAGACCCAGAAAGACGGCTCGGGGGTGCGGTGCGAAGCCGGGCTGTGGGCTGTCGGTGCACAGGAGGCGAAGGCTGTAGGCAACCTGCTGAGGGGCGCAGACGAGGAATGAGAAGAGGAATGTCCCGCCGCCCAAGAGGCGGGCATGGCTGATGGCCTGCACTTACCCAGCACCAGCAGCTCCACTGAGTCTTCGTTTTTGCCCTCCAGGTCGTCCGGGGTGGTGATGATACAGTAGTAGAGTCCGCTGTCTCCCCACATGAGTTTTCCGATCTGAAGGTCTGCATCTGTCATCACAAAAAGCAGCAGCCAGTCCCGACCCAGCCTCCAGAGGAACAAGGAACAATGGGGGGGGGGGTGTCCCAGTGTTCTGTTTACCTGGCTGGTGGTTGACAAGATGTTTGTTTTATCTAAAACACACACACAATGGAACAAAATCTGGCCTAGCGTCCCTGAGGGGGAGACAGAGCCGGCAGAATCCAGGCTCCCACCAGGAGTAGAGACCCGCTGCGACCAAGCGCGGGCACAGGGCCCGGAGAGCCAGCGCCCGTGGGGAACTACACCGGCCTCCTGCAAAGGAGCTGCTCCCACAGTCCTCCAAGACGCAAACACTCCAGCAGGGCAGGGTGGACTCCTAGGACCTTCTCTTGTCCAGAGCTTTAGGGGCAACAGGGTGGGAGTGAGCCAGAGCCACCTGGGGACCGGCTGTGGCGTCCACCCGGCTCAGGAACTCGCACGCGGACGCGCCTTCTCCCAGAGGGAGTCTGCTCCCTGAGTTTGGGAAAGGGCCCTACAGACTCATGTCAAGGTATCCAACCGGGAAGTTCTTTCACGAAAACTGTCTCATCCTAGTCCTGAGCACAAGTCCCTCGGACCGCTGGCCAGGCTCAGGAGAGACCGTTCGCTAGCTCAGCTCCGTCTTCCCTCGGTGTGACGCACTGCACCCCTCTGCCCCTCGCACCCCAGGAAACACTGGCCAGGCTTCTTGATGCCCCCATGTCCCATAAAACCACAGCCTCGAGGGGCTCAAGGCCGAGAGTATCCCGCATCTGGGAAGAATGGAGCTCAGGCCCCTCCCACTGCCTGGACTCAACGTGCCTTACCGTGGACGATGGTGACCTCTCGGCCCCTGTAGAAGTCGCCCAGGGTGACGGTGGAGCCCTGCTTTGAAGCGACCACGCGAACAGTCCTGCGGCTGTCCAAGCAGTCCAGGTAGGGGTCCCAGTCCAGGTTTCTCTTGCTGAGAGACTGGGCCCGGGGGGAGGCCATGCCCAGGGACTCCCCCATGCGGTCCTGGCAGTAGGACTTGAACTTCCACTGCACCACGGCGGGCTGGCGGGACGACGTGGAGAAGTGGCAGCGAAGCAGCGTGGGCTGGAAGAGCATGGCCACCTTCTTCTTGTCGGGCACGGTGACCTGAAGTCCTTCCGCCAGGGCTGCAACACAGAAGGGGCGTGTCCACGCGGCATCTGTGACCTGGACATCCAGCTGGCCACGTGGCCACGCCTTCTCGCCTGACCTCCCTCCCCGTTTCCAAATCAGACTATGATGTGAGGTGACGTCGCGCCCATCAGACTCGCCAGGTGAGGGGTGTGTCTGGTCCTACTGTCCTGGCCCACAGGTACTCAACAAATACTGGATAAATAAGGACCAGGAAGCCAGGAAGTGTGACTTCGGGAGGAAGTGACTTCCCTTCCAGCCGGTGACCAAGCCAAGGGGACAGAGATGAAGGGGACACGAAGGCTTTGAGAGGGATGGGGAATTCCAGATCAGAAGCCGCAGACTGAGTTCAACGGCTTTGAAGGATAAACCCAAAGGGGGCGGGGGAAGGGCAGAAAACAATGAGAAGTTTAAGTGGTGCAGCCTGAGGCTTGGTGTCCAAGAAAGAGGGACGCGTCGGCGAATGAAACACCAGGGCGGCGTCCGAGAGGCGGAGGACCTCCGAGAACGTGGTGGCAAGATCTAGAAATCCCCAGAGGACACCACTTCCTCGGGTGAAGAGAATAAGGTCCAGAGCTTCCGGGTTGATGTGAGGTGAGCAGCAGAAAGGGCTGTGCGTCGGAAGAGGCCTGGAAACGAACCCGGAGCCTGCGATCCGCTTCAGGCGCTTGGGGCCGGTTCACCGCCACCTACAGGTGGGCGGGAGCCCACGCAGGGGAGGGCTAGTCTCATGCATGGCCGCCCCGACCCTGACGGTGCCCACGCTCACCGTGACATGCCGCAAAGCAAAGCGAACCCCCTCTCGCAGCTCAACCACACCCCGATGACGAACGTCTTCACAGAAGCACCTCTGAGGGCAAGACCCAGTGTTTGGACCCGTCTTTGATTCCCAGTCCAGGCCTGTCTTCAGTGCCAGCACTCTGAGAACTAGCCCCTCGTTCCTGCGAGGGGGTACCTGCTCTCCGAGGGCGGGGGAGTGAACGCACAGAGTCCTTGAGATTCAGGGGGTCCTCTGAACCTACCAGGCGCCCAGCAGCCACCCTAGGGGGCAACGGACGACCGGATGAGCAGGTGACTGTCCATCAGATGGGATTTCTCGGACTCTAGGGAGTCCTGGCTCAATGCGTCGTGAATGGAGGGAGTGGCATTGGCCTCAAATCAAACCCGGGGCTTGAGAGCTCGTCTGACCCAGAGGAGCAGGAAGGCCCCTGGAGCCATCCCCACCTGTAAATGAGCCTCCGAGTTCTTTCTGGCTGGGTGTTCACCAACATGACATCATGGGTCCCCTGCAGAGAGTGGAGCCCAGAGCACAGCCCTGGGACCGTGACCTGCAGAGGGAGGTTCTCAAATACTCACCCACCCCTGCCTGCAACTCTGAGACTGACGACAGCCCGACGGTGCAGACCGGCCCCATCCAGGTGCAAACGATTCCCCTGGAAGCTCCCTGGAGAACCGCAGCCCCCCCCCTCGGCCCCCCACCCCACCCCAAGGGGACGTGGTTAATTAAGGTCATTCTCCTTGACTCACAAGGAGTAGGAAAAGAAACCCTTTACAGTTCCGCCTTAAAGTCCGCTGCCTGACTTTTCAACTTGGGGATTCTTCTCCCAACCCTATTCCCCTCCCAATTTTCCAGGAAACAAAAATGGGAAGAGAGGTGGCGGGACTCCACGCAGCAGTGGCGGAGCTGGGTAACCGGCGGCCCGCACTGCGCCCAGCACGCGGCTGTGGACTGGACCCCGCCCCGTCTTCTCTGCCACCCATTCAGGTGGACCTGGGGAGCCACGTCCTAGCCTTTCCAGGACCCATCAAACCCACAAGGGAGGCAGGTGCAGCCCCGAAGTGTGGGCTTGAAGGACGGCTTCTGCGTGTCAGATGATTTCTTAGAATAACCTCCTACCCAGCTCTGTTCTCCGTGAACGAGAGGCGAGCCACTTGACCACGCCGTTGGACTCCCTTTAATTATTAATAGAGTCTTCAGCTCCCGGGTTCTTCCAGGGCTAAACTCACGCTCTGGAGAAGGAGCACGTTCTCAGAATCCTCTGCCTCGTGACAGCCTGACCGACAGCTAACGACCGGATTGGGGTCGGTCCTAGACGGGCTCCAGGCTCCACGCCCTCCTGGCTCCTCGCGAGCCCCTCTTAGGAGTGTCCGCTTCCCGCTGGTCAACAGTAAGTGCCCTGTGGCGCCTCTCTGGGCGAAGTGCTGGTCTGCCCTGAGCCTGCGGGTCGTGAGGTATACAGTAAGCACTCAAGTGCTCAGCATCAGGTCGGTCTTGACCGCCAGGAAGCTGCGCACCGGAGCTGGGTGAGCCCCGATACCGAGGTGCCCGGGATGCTAGGCCAGGAAGCACGGCGACAGGGCCCGTGTGTGCCCGCCCCACGCGACAGGGCCCGTGTGTGCCCGCCCCACGCGACAGGGCCCGTGTGTGCCCGCCCCGCGCGACAGGGCCCGTGTGTGCCCGCCCCGCGCGACAGGGCCCGTGTGTGCCCGCCCCGCGCGACAGGGCCCGTGTGTGCCCGCCCCGCGCGACAGGGCCCGTGTGTGCCCGCCCCGCGCGACGGGGCCCGTGTGTGCCCGCCCTGCGCGACGGGGCCCGTGTGTGCCCGCCCTGCGTGACGGGGCCCGTGTGTGCCCGCCCTGCGTGACAGGGCCCGTGTGTGCCCGCCCTGCGTGACAGGGCCCGTGTGTGCCCGCCCTGCGTGACAGGGCCCGTGTGTGCCCACCCTGTGTGACCTGGAAGTCAGAACGGAGGGCGACCCCCGTGTGGCGCGGCACCCACACGGGGCGGGTCTCCTGGGAATCTTGGGGCGCTATGACGAGTGGATCCGCACAGCCGGGGGGACGGGGCCGGGGATCTCCAGGCAATGACCGTCTGTGGGCATCTGAGGGACGTGAGTGAAGAGCAGGAGAGGAAGCTGGGAGGCCGACCCTGCAGCTCCGTGAGCTTTGGCTCGAGGCTGAGGGCCACCACGCCCACGCCTGCCCGGCCAAGTCCACTGGGAACCTTCTTCCACCGAGGGTGGGGCCCACCTGGATCCCAGCTGAGGGCTTGGGGTCCCTGCGCCCTCTGAGCGGCACCTCTTTCCCGCGACCTACGTTTATATTAGATGTGTTTCCGCTGGACTTACCATCCCTCTGCCCCTGTGACTGAGGCCTTGCTGAGCTCCAGCCAGCCCTCCTGGCCATGCCGGCCCTGCCCTGAGGCCTGGGTGTTGTGCCCTCTGCCCTCACCCATGACCGATCCACATCTGAACCTGTGATGTTGCCGTATACCCCACTCCTACCCCTGGCCAGGCCCCTCGGAGACAGGTGCTCACCGGGGTGACAAGCTGGAGGCCCCGCGGACACGCCATCTGGCCTGGGGAGAGGCTCGTCCCCAGCATGGCCCCACCTCTCCCATCCTCGCTCTTCTCTCTCACCCCTTGTCAGATGCCAGAAGTCTGGAGCCGGCTGCACTGGCGTCTACACGGCTGAGACGGATGTGTCTCACGCCAGGAGAGGGACTGAAAGCGTCGCAGCCTTCTGGACGTCCACTCATCTGTGCATTCCAGCGGAGGACTCGAGCTCTCCCCGGCTCTGACCCCCGGCCATGCTCAGGGCCTCACTCCCTCCGGCCTCATCTGCACGCGTAGCAGAGCCTTCAAGTTCAGCAGGTCTAAACCGCATCTGCCCCCTCTTCCCCTGACCAATGTGAGCTGGTTCTTCCTCCATCAGCTCCTCGCCAGCCTGCCCGCGACCCACCACCTCCGAGAGAAAACATCGCTTGGACCATTTCCTCTCGGGCCCTGGGTTGGTCACTAGGTCTGAACGTCTGTCCCAGGTGGCCCTTCTCTCTTCTTCCATCATTCCCTTACATCAGTCTCTGTCCCTGCCGCTGGGGGATGGTTACGAAACCCTTCCCACGACGGGAACTGTGGTCAGCACTAAGAGTCACGGAGGATCTTAGTGAATTCTCTCAACAATCCTGTAAAGCAGGTGTTATTACTATACCCATTTTATAGACGAAGAAACGGACTTAGTGCATGCAGGGGTCTTTCCAGCATGTCAGAGTTAGCAAGTGACGGTCAGCTGTGAACCCAGGCTCCCTGGCCCCGAGGCTCCTGACCGTCCCGTTCCACGGGCCCACGTCACATCCTTGGTTTCACAGCAGCCTCTTCCGTGGGACCCTACAGCAGCCGATGCACTCTCCACGCTTTTTAGAGCATTTCTAAAGACGTGTCTGATCACGTCTGCGCCCGCCTGAAGGCCTCCGTCCGCTCCCCGTCCCCTCAGGACAAAACCCGAGAGGCAGGACACGGCAAGGAAGGTCCTCCCATCTGGCTCCAAGCTGCAGACACACGGAAACACTTCTCACTCTTCCACTACAGATACGCCGTCCCCGCCACCTGGGCCACATCGAGCGTGTCGCTGAAGGAGCTCCTGGAGCAGATGGGGAACAGCGCTGAGCGTGGGCTGTGCACACCCAAGCACGCGTGGGCCCAGCACGGAGGCCCGAGGCCAGGCGCCGGGGACTGCGGGGGCCTTGCTTCAGAGTCTTACGGAGAAGTGCGCCCCGTGCAGCAGGACGCTCCTCCCACAAGCCAGGTGTCTGGCAAGCTGGACAGAACAGCTCCGGAAAGGCAGCAAAGGACACACAACTAAGGGACCCTACCGTCGAGAACATCTGTGACGTGGGGACTGCAGACCGAAGCAGTAGATGGCACCTGAAGATCACAGGTGGTTTTCTATGCTCACAGGGGAGCGGCCGTCGCCCTTACACCACCAGACTGCTCTCCCTCATCCACAGGACAGCTCCCTTACTCACTCAAATTCAGCCACACACACACGTAATATATATATAATTATTAATCCTCGCCCGAGGATATTTTTTCCACTGACTTTTATTTTTATCCTCACTCGAGGACATTTTTTTCCATTTCTTGTTCAGATAGAGGGGAAGGGAGAGAGAGAGAGAAACATCGACGTGAAAGGGACACATAGAGTGGCTGCCACCCGCACGACCAACCAGGGCGGGGGACAAACTGCAACTGAGGTACGTGCCCTTAGCGGGAACCGAACCCAGGTCTCTCTGGACCACAGGCCGACGCTCTAACCGCTGAGCCAAACTGGCCAGGGCTCCACTGACTTTTAGAGAGAGTGGAAGGGAAGGAGGGGGAGGGGGAGAGAGAGAGAAACATTGATGTGAGAGACACATCGATTGGTTGCTTCCAACATGCGCCCTGACCAACCATGTGACCCTAGATTCATGGGCTGACGCTCCAACCACTGAACCACACCAGCCAGGGCAAAAACATATTTTCAAAGCCCTGTGTTAAGTTCTGGGAAGACGGGTTTAGAAGACAAGTCCTGGATCTTGAGACGTTCAATGTAAACGTGTTTCTAAGGCCAAGGCCCCGAGGGCGGAGGCCAGGGTGTGGCTGACCTGCGGTCTACAGCACAGCCGTGGAACGTAGCAGACGCTCACGAGGGTGGGGTGCACCCGTGAATGAACGAACGGGCGAAGGGCCTTCCTGAGCAGGTGGTCTCGGGTGCAGAGAAAGGGTTCCGGCCCGTCCTGGGAAGGCTGCCTAAGAGGATGGAGGCAGTGACAGCTCCGAGCAGCAGCCCCATCTCAGCTAGTCACCCCGGCACCCCGCCACCGGGCCGGGGAAGATCAGCTCCAAGTCAGACAGTGCCACCCTGGTGGCAAACGAAGGCCCTGGCCCAATTCTCACGTACAGAAAAGGATTCTGTGCATCAGAACTGTGTTCTTGAGAGATTCGCACAAGCAAATCTGCAGCAAAGCTGTTCTTATTTTAGCACTTTCATTTTTTTCAAAGCCAGTTCCCTTTCCCTGCGAGTAGTAAGCGGTTCCTGCCAGCGTCTTTGTGAGCAGGTCTCCAAGCCCGGCCCACTGCGGAGAGCCGGAGGTTGCGGGAGAGCTGGTGGGACCAGCGCCGCCAGAGCCGGGCACCGTGAGAAACGGCACAGCTCCCGTCCCCGGCGTGCGATCTGACCCTGGGACTGCCCGTCCCCGGCAGTCTCGGCCTCCAGACCGCTCGGGTTTTCCTGCGTTCGCTGTGACAATACAGATCTTCTGTTTCCTGCCCCCCAGTTCCATCTTCGTTGAGAAATTCATCTTCTGTCCTCACATTTGAAACACGTCCCAATTCCCTAAGATCGTGTTTTGGGGACGACTGGAGGGCAGGTTTCCTACGGGGAAGATGAAAGAGGCCTGTCAAAGCGTCCGCTCTGGCCTGGGTCTGTGGTCCAGACAAGGGCAGAAAGCTCATCCGTCCCTCCGCAGCACCGTGCTGGGTCTGTGGTCCAGACAAGGGCAGAAAGCTCGTCCGTCCCCCCACAGCATCGTGCTGGGTCTGTGGTCCAGACAAGGGCAGAAAGCCCGTCCGTCCCCCCGCAGCATCGTGCTGGGTCTGTGGTCCAGACGAGGCCGAAGAAAGGCTCGTCCGTCCCCCGCAGCTTCAGCATCGTGCTGGGTCTGTGGTCCAGAACAAGGACAGAAAGCTCGTCCGTCCCCCCGCAGCATCGTGCTGGGTCTGTGGTCCAGACGAGGACAGAAAGCTCGTCCCGTCCCCCCGCACGCATCGTGCTGGGTCTGTGGTCCGACAAGGGCAGAAAGCTCGTCCGTCCCCCCCGCAGCATCGGCTGGGTCTGTGGTCCAGACGAGGACAGAAAGCTCGTCTCCGTCCCCCCGCAGCATCGTGCTGGGTGTCTGTGTTCCAGACAAGGCAGAAAAGCTCGTCCGTCCCCCCGCTAGCATCGTGCTGGGTCTGTGGTCCAGACGAGGGCAGAAAGCTCGTCCGTCCCCCCGCAGCATCGTGCGGGTCTGTGGTCGCAGACGAGGGACAGAAAGCTCGTCCGTCCCTCCGCAGCATCGTGCTGGGTCTGGTGGTCCAGACAGGGCAAGAAAGCTCGTCCGTCCCCCGCATGCATCGTGCTGGGTCTTGGTCCAGACGAGGGCAGAAAGCTCGTCCGTCCCCCCGGCAGCATCGTGCTGGGTCTGTGGTCCAGGCGAGGGCAGAAAGCTCGTCCTGTCCCCCCGCAAGCATCGTGCTGGGTCTGTGGTCCAGACGAGGGCAGAAAGCTCGTCCGTCCCCCCCCCCCGCAGCATCGTGCCTGGGTGTCTGTGGTCTCATACAAGGACCGAAATCTCGTCCGTCCCCCCGCAGCATCGTGCTGGGTCTGTGGTCCAGACGGGCAGAAAGCTCGTCCGTCCCTCCGCAGCATCGGCTGGGTCTGTGGTCCAGACGGGCAGAAAGCTCGTCTGTCCCTCCGCAGCATCGTGCTGGGTCTGTGGTCCAGACGGGCAGAAAGCTCGTGCCGTCCCCTCCGCAGCATCGTGCTGGGTCTGTGGTTCCAGACGGGCAGAAAGCTGTCCGTCCCTCCGCAGCATCGTGCTGGGTCTGTGGTCCAGACAAGGGCAGACAAGTCGTCCGTCCCCCCACAGCTCGTGCTGGGTCCCTGTGGTCCGACAAGGGTCGAAAGCTCGTCCGTTTCCCCCCACAGCAATCGTGCTGGGTCCTGTAGGTGCCAGAAAAACAAGGGCAGAAAGCCCGTCCGTCCCCCCGCAGCATCGTGCTGGGTCTGTGGTCCAGACGGGCAGAAAGCTCGTCCGTCCCTCCGCAGCATCGTGCTGGGTCTGTGGTCCAGACAAGGGCAGAAAGCTCGTCCGTCCCCCCACAGCATCGTGCTGGGTCTGTGGTCCAGACAAGGGCAGAAAGCCCGTCCGTCCCCCCGCAGCATCGTGCTGGGTCTGTGGTCCAGACAAGGGCAGAAAGCTCGTCCGTCCCCCCACAGCATCGTGCTGGGTCTGTGGTCCAGACAAGGGCAGAAAGCTCGTCCGTCCCCCCACAGCATCGTGCTGGGTCTGTGGTCCAGACAAGGGCAGAAAGCCCGTCCGTCCCCCCGCAGCATCGTGCTGGGTCTGTGGTCCAGACGAGGGCAGAAAGCTCGTCCGTCCCCCCGCAGCATCGTGCTGGGTCTGTGGTCCAGACGAGGGCAGAAAGCTCGTCCGTCCCCCCGCAGCATCGTGCTGGGTCTGTGGTCCAGACAAGGGCAGAAAGCTCGTCCGTCCCTCCGCAGCATCGTGCTGCGTCTGTGGTCCAGACGAGGACAGAAAGCTCGTCCATCCCCCCGCAGCATCGTGCTGGGTCTGTGGTCCAGACAAGGACAGAAAGCCCGTCCGTCCCTCCGCAGCATCGTGCTGGGTCTGTGGTCCAGACAAGGGCAGAAAGCTCGTCCGTCCCCCCGCAGCATCGTGCTGGGTCTGTGGTCCAGACAAGGACAGAAAGCTCGTCCGTCCCTCCGCAGCATCGTGCTGGGTTGGGAGCAAAGGGGATGTCGACCTAAGGCTCAAGATTTCAAGGCAAAGAAAAAGCTGGTGTTTCTCAGGCTGACCTGGGCTCCTGCAGACTCTTCCCTGGATGGACTGTGAAAGGAGACTGGACCTGGAACTCTATCGTTCTGATTTCTAATCAAAACTGGAGAAGAGGGCAGAGCCACATACTCTTAGAGCTGACAGTGACCTCAGAAGTCATCTCATTCCACAGATGCTAAGAGCAGCTGCCCATGGCCGGACAGGTCATTTGTGGAGGAAAGGGGAGTAAACCCCTCTCCAGCTCCCAGGCCGGGCTTCCTCCCGCTAGCCACGCCCTGGTGCGAATACTACGAACGCTGCACTGGGCACCGAGTCCGCGCACCCGGACTCTCAGGGCACGCAGTGAGGCCCCCGTGCACTGACACCCCGGTCCGGGCCAACGGGCCGGCCTGCGGAATCGCGAGTCTGGCACGAACCGAGTGCTGGGGATACGGAACGAAGCCCCTTCCCCTGGTCCAGAGAGAAGCTTCGGCGGGGGGCAGGTGGAGAGTGGGGAGAGCCGAGCCGGTGTGGAAAGACGGGGCTCGGGGTGAATACGGTCTCTTCCGGGGGACAGGAGAGCAGAGGAGGGAAACAGAAGGGCAAGCAAGACGGGAAAGGAGGGCGTGGAAGTGGGGTGCCTCTAGAGGGACTGTCCCTTCCGCAGGGCTCAGAACCCCCAAGCCTGCCCGCACACGGCCACGGGGCATCTACCCGGACACAAACCAGACCAGGTAACAGCTGGACACCTCCCTTCCCGTTGCAGGCTGGGTCCGCAGTCCCCGGAGCCCCCCAACTCCCAGTACGGGTCCCCATTATTGCTTTTGCACAGGCCACCCCCTAAGTGTTCACAGTTCGCACCCCCAGGCTGCGCACTCCCCGAAGGCAGGGTCTGGGTCTTCTTCACCGACTGAGCCCCACGACAGGGAGGACCCCGGCAGCTGGCCGTGCGCGAAGCAAGGTCTCAGCTGGACCGTCGCCTCTGGGGCGGTCTCAGAGCTGCCTCAGCCGCCCCCAGGTGCGGGCTGGGCATGCCGCTGCCGTGCTCTGTGGCACCATGCGGCTCTCTGGCTCACACCATAGGACCTTCCCCACATCAAAGCTGCCTGGAGACTCACTGGAGTCACCGCACAGATGACAGCTCTTCGAGGGCAAGGACTGTCTTCCACCTGTTTATTCTCCGCGCCCGCACCATACTTAGACACCCCAGGACTTCAACACAGAACGGACGAACGAAGGAATGAGCGAAACCAAAGGGGCAGCAAAGGAAATGCCACTAGAGCAAGCGGTCTTCATCGGAGAGACCCAGGAGTCTCCAGAGCATGTCCCCCGTGTCACAGAGCCCCAGCAGCCCGGCGGCCAGGAGGGGACCACGCCACACACCGGCCACGCGGGGGAACAAAGGCGGAGCGAAGCCTCCTCCGGTCTCCCTGCTCCGAGGCACCTGTTGCGCCAGCAGCTGGAGAGCATTTTGCTTTGCTGGAACAACAGGGACACAGCAGCACACAATCTATGACAGGAAGCGACATCCCAACAATAAGAAACCACCAGGCTAAATCTGCAGCAGCCGCAAACCCAGGATTTTAGCAAGAGAGGAGGAGGGAGCTCTGGAGTCCCAGGGAAATGCTGAAGTGTTGATTAGAAATCGCTCAGCCTCCGTTCAAAGAGAGAAACGGAGGGAGAGGGGAGGAGAGAGAGGAGAAGAGAGCGAGGAGGAGGGGAGGGAGGCTGAATGTGTGTTTTCCTGGCTCTGACTCATTTTTAATCTGTCCTTCCCTTCCTCCCACCCTCCCACCACCTTCAGGAGAGGAGTCAGCCAGTAGGCTGGACGAGACCGTCTCACCTTTCTCCCATGGCTTCCCCGTGAAGGATGAGTCTGAACCCCTGTCTTCCCGTGTGCCCCTGTGCCTCTCCTCCCCCCTCCCCCGCCGCCATTGTCGCCTCCCTTTGCTCAGGGTGAGAGCAGCTAGTCACAGGCCAGGGCGGGCTTGGCGAGGAGGAGCAGAAGCTGGGATCCTGGGACCCCGGGAGCCAGCCTGCCTGCAGGGGGCAGAAACCCGGCCACCTGACTGCGGGGGGGCCTGCTCACTAGCCTGTTGCCTGCCCCCAGGCAAGGGCAGCCTCCGCAGGAGCGGAAGGAAGAGGCCAGATAAGCAGCCCACCCTTCACAACACAAAGGAAGCAGAAACCCCCACAGTGAAGACCTCAGGAGGCAGCCCAGGAGCCCTCTGGCCCTGGGTTCGAGAGCACTGGGCTCGAGTCGCTGCTCCTCTGCCAGCCTCGGTTTCTCTAAGTCAGAGGGCTGAGCTCCAGCCTCCGTCCTGGCCAGCGATGGGATTCCCTCGCAACGGACGCTGCCAGCCAGCCAGCCAGGGCGACACAGTCCCTTCTGCTTCCTCTCCCTGCAAACCCCTAGAGCACCCTGACTCGGGCACCCCTCCCCAGAGGCGGGCTGACTCCAGGGAGGGGTGGCGCAGGCTCAAGGCCAAAGCTCCCGGGACATGATAAGAGAAGAGGCAAACTGAGGACACTGGGAACTGGCGAGGGGAAGCGGCAGGCCCTGGGGGGCCAGGGGAGGGGGAGGCGGATCGGCCAAACCCTGAAATTACGGATGATTCATATTGGAATAATGTGGGTGGGAGGCTCTCAGAGCAGCCAAGAGAGGAGGCTAACTGGGCGCAGGGTGCCCCCCCAAACCCAGTGGGGCGCAAGGGCCGGTGAGGGCCCTTCATCTGGAACAGGAAGAAGCCCGGGCTGTCAGGAATCTCAATCTGAAGCAGAGGGAAACAGGGGTTTGCCTTTCTTAAGTGTATTTTACCCTCTTTCATGGACTTGTTATAGATGTTTTCAATGTTTTCCCCCGGACTTGATTCTCCCAAGCCTTCTGGTCGGTGCCCCCAGAGGGAACAAGACTTCATTTTCGGGTGCGGTTTTGCATTTTCTCTTCTGCCCGTCACGACCCTCATCCTGTCCTCACAGCCTTTCTGACCCCCGCTCCTTCCCCCATCCCTCGGGGTCCACAGTCACAGTCTCAGACCTGTCCACACTGCCCACGAAGGGTTGCTCGGTGACTCTCTCCGGGCTGGCCACCCTGCCCAGCCCTCTGTCCCTCAAGCACACAGAATCATGGGGTGGGGACAACTTGGCAGGAACAAGAACCTTTGCAGACCCCAGGAGGGTGGAAGGAAGGTCAGAAAAGGCAGGGAAACTGGAGGGCCCCCTGGAGGAAGTGCTGTGCTGGGAGAAGCCCCACCTTCTGAGGATTTCTGCAAATTGCCTTCACTGGGGGCGCAGAACCCTGTGTACTGGGGGGTCCTCGCTGTGGACCACTCCCCACTGGTACAAGAGACAGCAGGGCCCGAAACTCCACAACCAGTGGCGCCTCCGTCCACCGCCCCCCTCACCCCCTCCCTGAGGATGCCCCTGGGTCCCCGAGTCTTGTGGGAAGGAATGAAGGAGACACTCCTCCACCCCCACCCCCACCCCCAGAAAACCAGTTTCCTTAATTAGTCTCCTCCAGCCAGCTTTCCCAGCGCTACAACTCGGGTTCAGACCGAGGAGGACCCATGTCTGGAAGGGGAAACGCACGTTCACAACAACAGTCTCGAGTCTCCCACGGGTCAGACACCTGCGTCTCCACCGTCTGGCTCCTATTTGGGCTTCTCCGCCCCCGCCCCCCCCCCCCCCCGCTATCACCCTGACACACGGCCCCTCCCCCACTCCCCACCAGCCGGCTCCGCAGCCTTGGGGACGAGCGGTGGCCGCGGGGGTGGCGCGGCTGAGACCCCCACTGCGCGAATGTCCGCCAAGTTCCCGGGGTCGTGGGAAAGGCAGCTCACCTGTCAGCCAGAGAAGAGCGGTCCACGCCAGCGAGACCCTGTCCATCGTCCCCAACTCCCCATCCAGACGAACGCGGGAGCGGAGTGGGAAGCGGCAGAGGCGCGGGGATCGGGCTGCGCGACCGGCAGGCAGAGGCGGCGGCGGCGCGACCGGGTGTCCGCGTCCCCGGGCGCCGCCCCGGGCGGGCCGCGCAGACGGGCCCAGGCGCGCTGCCGCTGGGCTCCCGCTCTCTCCCGCTCTCTCCCGCTCCCGCCGCCGGCTCCGCTCCCGCGCCCTCCGCTCCCGCCCGGCCCCCGCCCGGCCCCCGCCCGGCCCGCTCCCGCCGCGATTCCCCGCCCGCAGCGCCGCCCGCCGCCCGCCCGAGGCCTCCAAAGTTTCTGGGTCACGTGCGGCCCCGCGGCCGGCGCCCAGTGGCCAAGTGCACAGGGGCGTGAGGGGGGCGCTCCGGCCGCGCGGAGCGGAGCCAGGACTGCGCTTGGGGATGCGCAGGGGCGGCGGTGCGTGCACGTGGCGTCGGCCAACCGGGGCAGCCGGGGAGGGACAGCGCCGCCAGGCCGGGCCGCCCGGACTTGGGGTAACTTATCAGCAAGTCCCCTCTGCAAGGGGGTTTGCATGAGCTGGAACCCCGCCCTGCCTCAGTCTGGGTCCCTTTCTGACGTGCATTGAACCAAGATGCCCCGCAGAACTGGGAAAGGTGGACGGGAACCCTGGCATCCTGACTTCCTCCTGTTACCACGTTACTCAGGGCCTGCAGCTCTTGAATAGAAAGTAAGTCAAATTAGAATAATAATGTGGCTTACAGTCGTCCGTCCAACATGTGCGGCTTCTCAGCCTTCTGGTTAAATCAAGTGCATCGGCCAACACTACAGTGTGCGGGACACCTCCACGGGGCTTGTTCGCATGCTGTACAGCGAGTGGGGAACTGTTTTCTGTGAAGGGCCATCTGGATGTTTATAACATCATTCCCCCCGCCCTATAAAATTATCAACTTAAAAATTAGCCTGTAGCCCTGGTTGGTTTGGCTCAGCGGTTAGAGGGTTGGCTTCGGCCTGCGGTCCAGAGAGACCCGGGGTTCAGTTCCCGCTGGGGGCGTGTACTTTGGTTACAGTTTGTCCCTGGCCTTGGTTGGTCACGCGGGTGGCAGTGTCGATGTGTCCCTTTCACGTCAGTGTTTCTCTCTCTCTCTCTTCCTCTCTCTCCCTCCCACTCTATCTGAACAACAACAAAAATTAGCCTGCTATATTTGGTCAAACATTTAATTAACTCACCCCTACTGTGATGGTTGGGACTGCCTCTCTGTGGTGGGGCTGTGACATTGGTATTGATGGCGTTGCTACTTGCAGCTGCTTTTCCAGGTTTGTGTCGGTCAGTCTGGAGCTCGGTCAACTCCTTGCGATGGTGAGTTTTGAAAAGAACTACTCGCGGCAGTAAGTTGTTCCGGACACAAATGTACATTTCAGTGCCTGTCTCCTCCAAGTGGGAAATCCATCACTGCTTAGGTAACGTTGATAGAACCCAAGCAGTGGGAGGTGGTTGAACCAGCTCTCAGCTCACCACCGCTTTGCAGCTGAATGATGTCGCGTTGTAGGTTATCAGGCACATCAGCTCGTTCCACATTGAATGGTGTAGCCAAGGTGTTCGATTCTATTTGTTTACTTTTCACACCCTTGGATCTTTCATTAAATGTCTCAATTACTTTCACTCATTCTCCAGCATTTTAAAGTGTCTAGAAGGCTCTTGTCCTTCCCGAGTGGGAAATGCACCGTGTTATTCCTTTCAAGGTGCACTTTCCACAGCCTTCGTTTAGCTTCAGATGATTTCATGTTTGAAAGCAGGGAGCTGAGAAGCTGGTTGGGGCCCTGCAAAATGATGGTCAGCTCTGAGAGTACTTGGTAATGTCCACCGTGAGCGCTAAGTCACACAGCCACTTGCCACCATTGTTTCCTGACAGGCTTTCGTCTCCATGAACTGCTTGACTTCATCCCGCAGTTCGTAAAACCTCATGAGCATGTTCCCGAGAGTCAGCCACCGCACTTCACAGTGATAAACGAGGTCACCGCACTCAAAGTCAACATCATTCAGTAAGTCCTCAAACTGGCGGCTGTTAGACCCTCTGCTTTTTACAAAATGTATGCACGACACTACTGTGACATCACGTTGTTGAGCCGCAACGACTGTGCAGAGACTCTTGCTGTCTGATGCAGTGGCTAGAATTAAACCACTTGGATCAGGACTGAGATGATTCAGTTCTTTCTTTTTTTTTTATCCTCACCCGAGGATATTCTTCCATATTTTGTTCAGACAGAGTGGGAGGGAGAGAGAGGAAGAGAGAGAGACAGAAACATCGACATGAAAGGACACATCGAGTGGCTGCCACCCGCACGACCAACCAGGGCTGGGGACAAACTGCAACCGAAGTACATGCCCTTAGCAGGAACCGAACCCGGGTCTCTCTGGACCACAGGCTGACGCTCCAACCGCTGAGCCAAACCAGCCAGGGCTGATTCAGTTCTTTCTTGACAAATGCAATGAACCCTTTTTGTGAGCCAACCATGGCTGGAGCTCCACCTGTAGGAAGGCCACTTAACTTTTCAAATGTCAGCTCAGGTTTTTCCTTGATAAAACGAGTCTCTCAGACAAGTCCTCCCCTCTTGTGGTGCCACGCGTGGTCCCAGTGACCGCAGTTCGTCTGGAGCGTCGAACTCTGCAGTTATCCCGCCAACGAAAACGGCCAGTTGGGCCGTGTTTCTTATGTCTGTTGCCTCATCAAGCCGGAGAGAAAAACTGGAAATCTCCTGCAGAACCCTTCAGTGCTTTTCCGGTACCTTGTGCTACGCCCCTAATCGGATCTGAGATGGTTCTTGGAGACAAACTAACCCTGTGAAACAATGTTACTTTGTCTGGTGCTGACAACTCCGCAGCAGCCACCACACACTGTTTCACACTCTCTCTCTGCACCAGGCTCAGCTTCTTTGCAATTAGCTCGCTCACTACACAACTGAATAACGTTGTCT